CTGGTGACAGTGTCTTTGAAGAACGCTAAAACATCTCTATCTCTCTCCTCTTTCTGTTGCTTGACACTCGGATCCATTATACCCATTGTCTCTAGTTCCCAAAATTGCCTAATATCTTGTGAAGATTGGAAGGCCACAAACATGGAGGAGACAAAAGAAGAATCCTCGTCAGACGTGCCAACAATTGTCCAGCCCAATCGAGTTTTTACAGCTACAAGTTGCTCATTTACCTTATGAAACTCTGGAGTGATGATCTGTGTCCAAACGTCAGCTCCTAATAAGACATCAATACCAGTGAAGTCATCGCCATCACAAGAAGAAACATCAGTCAGAAATATGTTTTCTTTCTCTAAAAGAGTGATCAAGCTGTAATCACAAAACTTAGGAACATGATTACATATAACATGTTGTTCTACAACGTTGACACTTGTCCGAAAGTTCTCATTTATTGAGCTCAAATTTAATTCATAGGTGTTATGATATTTAGGACCGGTTTGTTTACCTCCAAAGACTTCTTGCTGGATCAGAACTTTACCATTGCTTGAGAGACTCAATTTAGATACACAGAGACTAGAAATGAAGCTTTTCTGTGAACCTGAGTCACATAAGATTCTAACCCTTTTCGGTTCCCCATTTACATTAACAAAGGCATACAAAGTCTGTAAATAGGTAGTTTTACTTTTGTTGTTCAAAGTCGAAAATGAACTAGTACTTTGAACCGGAGTTGGTTTTGACTTGTCCTCACCACTCGGCTTGGATTCATTAGTGGTAGGGATCTTTTGACATAAGATTGCCAGATGTTTACCCATACAGATGTGACATTTTACCTGAATCCTGCACTTACTTGCTAAGTGTCCCTTCTTCAAACATTTAAGACACAACCCCTTTTTCTTCGCAATCTCGGTTCTTTCTGAGGTTGTCTTATCAAAGATGGAAAAACAATCAGATGAATTGTGAGTTGATTTTCCACAAAATGCGCAAAGATTCTTATTAGGGTACATACTTGTGCTCATTTTAGGATCCTGATGCCCATCAGAGGATACCAGAACTGCTGCTGAAGGTGTCTTAGGCTTACCAGTTCGTTGTTGTTTCTGTAAATCTTCATTTACCTTGTTATTTTCACTACTAACTACCCCAAAACATCCTTCTCTCAACTTAAATCTCTCCTCTGCCTCGACTTCCGTCTTTAGGAACAACAATAGCTCTCGTAAGCAATTACCAGGCTCCATTGTGGTCACATTTTTGCCTACTCGATACCTTTCCTAAACTTTAAAAATATTCTCTGGTATTGAAGTTTCGACAAGAGGGAATAACATAGCGGAATATTTTTCCTTAGTGACGCCCAAAGTTTCAAGAGCCCGCAGCTGCACTTCAAGTCTATCATAGAGGTTAGTGACAGACACCTGGCTACTTTTACTTAACACTAAGGTCAACAGCTCCCTTACATAATACTCGATTAGTAATTCGTCTTTGCCAAATCGAGATTTCAAGAGCTCGATTGCTTTATAATAGTTTTCCTGAGACAAAGGAAAACCCTCGATCAGTTTTAGAGCCGCGGAACCTGGTGTCATTGATTGAATTAAATATTCAAATTTATCCTCATCACGTAGACTCTGATCATTATGGATTTTCGAAAACTGTGACCAAAATCCAATCCAATTTTTGAACTGCCCGTCAAATTTTTTTAGTTCAATTTTTGGTAAACGAATTTTGGTTTCATGTTTAGAGAGGTTCAACTCACCTCGGTCGCTGCAGGGAGAAGTTTTTTACCAGGTTTTTGTATTGGGCCTCCATGTTGAACCACTTGTCTCGAAACTCTAACGAAGCGTCGTACTCTGCGTCCAGGTCAGCGTCAGAAGTGTTCTCGCCTAGCATCACGTCTTGTATCTGTTCATCCATAGTGAAGAGATTGTCACATGTCGCCTCCATACTTAAATATTGTGTTTCAATGGCTACCAGGAGTTCTTCTTTTGGCAAATCTTCTTTTAAAACATTTTCAAAATTATTATGTGTTTTCAAAAATTGTCGTCGAAGCTGTCTTCTCTTCCTGTTTAAACGTATTAGGTCATCTGCCATTTTTTGTTAATTGACCTTCAGGTTTTATACAATAATTAATACTTCAAAATAATTTATTCTTCTAATAATCCTGGCAGGGTCGCCAAAAATGTAAACTAACTTCAAATATGAACCAATTTTCTAAAAAGTTAAATAAAATCAGTCTCAAGTTAGTTGGAACAAATTTACTATTTCTTTTTCAACACACAATGTTTACATTCATGTTTCTTTTAAATTATCATAGTTAAACATCTGTTAATATATCTGAAATACAAGTCATATCTTTGCAAAGAGGATAATATTGAATTATATACCAATATTACATTTTATAACAAGTCTAGATCGTCCAGATCTGTCTCCCGAAAAAGGTACATCGACTTCAAGGCCTTGGGAATTGAAAACGTATTTTTGCGATGTGGTAAAAATAGTCACAAGGCAAGTAACTGTAGAGTAGACTATAAGAAGCTCTCGTGTAATAACTGCAAAAGAAAAGGACATGTATCAAAAGTTTGCATTCAATCACTACTCAAAAATTCAAAAGTAGATTTAGTTGAACCGTACTTAAATTCAGCTATTAATAGTGAACAGTACAATCAACCTTTTCATGACCCAACATACGGCATTCATAGCATGAATTGTACCGTAGTAGACCTTTTTGAAATGACTCCCGGTCTCGACAAATACCTCATTGATGTAGAATTAAACGGCAAACGTCAAAGTTTTGAAGTCGATTCCGGTGCAAAATTTTCCCTACTTTCAGAAAGTGATTTCAAGAAACTCAAGCTTGGCATTTCCCTACAGAATTCTAATGTTTGCTTTCGGTCATACACAGGTAACATCATTAAGCCTGTTGGAAAGGTATTTGTTACTGTAACGTACAATGGTAAACAGATAGATGATGAATTACACATCGTACCTGCAGGACATGACGCTTTGCTAGGTAGACAGTGGATTAGAGTGTTAGAAATCGAGCTTCGTCAAGTGTACGACTAAATGTTTCAGAAACCTTCACACCATGTTTCAATACACAAAGTAAACTCGATAAACGCTTTTTCAACCAAACTCAAAACATGCAGTAGTTCAACAGATCAACAAATCGGGGAAGAAGTGAACCAGCTTTTTTTCTCAATCACTTTTTCAAGTATCCAACTGTGAAATAACTTCAAAGACAATCAAAGAAGAAACCGCAAAAGACCATGAAATGAATGGAATAGTTCGAACCCTGAAAAACAATTCTACTGACTCAGAATACACCCTACTTGACGGTATATTGTTTCGAAAAGACAGAATTGTAATTCCAACATCTTTACGCTCCAAAATACTCAGTGAACTTCATGAAACTCATCTGGGAATAACCAAAATGAAGCAACTCGCTCGACGCTATGTTTACTGGCCAGGAATTGACGGTGAAATCGAAAAACTAGTTAAAGGATGCAAAAGTTGCGCCCTAGTGAAAGCAAGTCCACCTAAAGTGTCAGTACATCCGTGGAACCTACCTGAAAATAACTGGGACCGAATACATATAGATTATGCCGGCCCTTATGAAAATCACTATTTTCTTGTTTGTATTGACGCAAGATCTAAATGGGCTGAAATCGAAGTGTTGAAGGAAGTACCTACATCTTCAAACACAATCAATCTGTTAAACAAGATATTTGCTACCCATGGGTATCCAAAAGAATGCGTTTCTGATAATGCTACAATATTTACAAGTGAAGAATTCAGAGCTTACAGCAAGATCAACGGCATATTTCAAAAGTTCATCGCCCCTGGGCATCCAGCCACAAATGGCCTTGCAGAACGCAACGTACAAACTCTGAAGAACAAATTAAAGTCAGCTTCTGAAGAACCCGGAACCCTGACAGACAAAGTAAGAAGAATCTTATTCCGTTATAGAGCTACTCCATTAGCTAGCAACCAAACCCCTGCTGAACTCTACCTCAATAGAAAACTAAGGATTCGACTTGATGCCATATTTCCTTATCAACACCCTAAATCAAATATCCAGCCTGTTTTAAAACCTGTCAGATCGATTCAAGAGGGGGAGAGAGTGCAAGTTCAAATATTCAGTAACAACAGACAAGTTTGGCAGTTTGGAGTAATAAAGAAGAAGCTAGGAAAAAGACATTACATAGTAACACTCGATAGTGGAAGAAATATCAAGAGACACATTAACCAGCTTAGACCAACTCTAGTAATTAAAGAAAAGATGGTAACATTTGGACCTAAGCAATCATTCGATGTACCAAGACTTCCAAACCAAACTCCATCTTATCCTGATCAAAGACCCGACCATATTGAACCAGAACCAGACAAACCTACAGAAGTTAACATTCCAGTTCGCTCTCCACGACCAATAAGACAACGACGACAGCCACCTTGGTTCGAGACTTTATCATTCAAAAATAGTTTATGTTCTTCTCAATAAGTGAGGGAGAGTGTCATAATCTTGTTCTTTTACTCTATTCTAAATAGTCAGTTGTTGGTAAATATTAAATAGTAAACACTTCTTATTGTTACTTTTGAAAACATTACACTACAAACATCTATGTTGTTAAAATAAAGAGATATAATTTACAATGTGCGTGTATTTCAATAGTACGGTCACAACAGATACTGTATTTATTGGTATACGCACCGTAATTGTTTCTATTGTAATGTACCACAATGTTTATTCCCTATGTTTACTACTGTATTAAATAAACACTGTATTTTACTTTATAAAGTATTTTTCACTTTTCCTCTAGAAATTGTTATGTAAAAACAACAATATGTTCTGTAATCCGAACTATTCAATAGTCCGAACTACCCCCGGTCCCAATTAGTTCGGATTAAAGAGGTTCTACTGTATATATATTTTTAGTTATATCACTGAATGGTGTAGAGGATTGAAACCCATGTGTTTAAAAGTCAATATAAAGTTTTGACTATTTGTTGTGTTTCAGACCTGGTGGTGCGGGAGGAGGATCCCGGGAGTTGGTCGCCTACAAGACCTCAGAAACTCCTCCCAGGGTGAGTAACATAGACTTGCCTTACAATCAGTTGGGAGGACACGGTAGTAGGAGATGTAGTTGAATAGTTTCTCATGTGTATGTCAATACATTTACAATATTTTTAATCCCAAAATCAGCCAAAATAGATAACTTTTAAAATTGTCTATTTTGTTACTTGTCCGGAAAATAGATGTTTACCGTACGAGGATGGTTGTTATCACATGAGACAAAGTTGAGTGCGTGATTACCATAGGAATACGGTAACCACATTTTGAACGAGTGACGTGCCACCCTAAAATAGCTTAACAATAGAAAAACTCAGCATCCGTTGTTCCCGTCTTGAGGACTTAACTATCATTCCTTACTGCTTCTCTGAGATGATATGTTTTCATTAGTAACCACTATTTGGCATAAGAATATTAGACTACTTTCAATATCAAACTCTGTATGTGATATTTTTAGAACTAAGTTTTGTGTGAAAAATAAGAAATATTGTGAAAAATTGTAGTAAACATGGTTAAGTTTAGTAACATTTATGTAACCAAGTGTGTATTTTTATTTTACAGAATAATTTTTTGTTTTTAAGGTTCGGAATTTGGTCACTATTAAAAAGTTATTTAAATGCATGTGTAAAGTTCCATTGGTTTTAGCGAATTTCCCTATAGGGAAGTAGCTATTACTGTAGGTGGCACGGTAAGACCTAGACCCGGGACCGATTTACTTTTTCATTTTGATGTCCCCAGAGGCCAAAAACACCATTCGTTCAAATTTTTATATATGTATATATATATAGACTTATATATATATATATATATATATATATATATATATATACGTCCGTGAACGCGATAACTTGAGTAATTTTTGTCCGATTTTGATGAAATTTGGTTTAAAGGTGTAAAGCGGGATAAACTTGAATGAGTTCGCGAACCAGCATGATCGGACCATGGGAACGGGGCTTTACGGGGGGTTTTATGGGGTAAAAATTGGTTTTTCTCACTTTTGACCCTCAAAACACAAAATTTCCCGATTTCTCTTTGGACCTTTTTAAAGAGCTTAAAAAAACAAATAATTTAGTATATAAAAGTATTTTTGTTCGATTATTAGTAACGGAGAAAATTTAAAAAATTGTAAATTTAAAATTCCCATGTTATTCTTATGGAGAATATTGTCAAATGTTGTAGTTTGCTTGTTTATGGATATATTTTGATCAAACTTGGCAAATTTATTTATTTTGTACTAAGCTATCAATATTTTACTCAAAAACACACTTTATTAGTTTCCTTGTAGCAGCAAACCTAGGTACTCGTTAAACCTAATGTTATAAAATATATTTAACTGAAAATCAATTCAGACAAATGGAAATTCGCTTAGTCGGCAGGTTTGCTGCGGCGGGGGTATTTATTTGGTTTGTGATTTTTTACGTTGATAATTATTTATGGGTAATAAACACCTGAGGTCTTTAATAACAAAAGTAGGCTAATTATAATCAGCTGGTAACTGGCAAAATTCTTTACTGTACAGTTTAGTACGTATTTAATCCCATTTGATCGAGTATGCAGGCGGCAAACAGCTGTTTTCTAGACTAAATTATTTTATTAAAACTTCATTAATACAGAGTTGTATGGCAAAAATTTTATTTCTGTAGGCCTACTGTAGTACGTAACAAAATCCCATTTGATTAAGCAATCGGCAAATTCCTGTAAAGCATTAACAAATCTGTAAAAATCAAACAGATTTTTCCTAACTAAATCTATGTTTGGGAAGTCATTGATATTAGATTAGTGTGGCAGAAAAACTTTAAAAATCTTGAAACTATAATGCTTACATATATTAAAAATCGGAATATCTGTTTGCAGTTGAGTGGAAGCAGTCATTCCCTGCCTCAGCAAGTGTCCCCCAAGGAACAGCCAACCCCTGTAGCTGCCCAGTCTACACCCGCTCCAAGGGCCACACCACCCAAACCACCCGCACCCTCACCCGACCCCCCACCACCTGTGCAGGACAAGCATCCTCCCCCCAGACAGCTAGGTGGCTGCTCAGGCAAGAATGTGCTGGGAACATTACCACACCACCACCTCAGTGTGGACGAGCTACGACTACTGCAGGTTAGACATTCATAGAAAATATACAGTGATCGATAAGCAGAATGATAAAATTTGTGGTTGGTGTTGTTAATTCTGCACATGGCTGCATCATTTTTGATAATCTGTTCTTTAAAAAACAACATAAAAATCCAACTTTCAGAAAAAAAAATACCATCAAGAGTTAGTCACTTACAGTACACTCTCTATTACCCTGACATCTTTTAATTAAACATAGGTTAAACTGGATTACACTCGGCAGAACAATGTTTATCAGCACATCAGCTTAACCGGACTGGATTGGTAGGAAGTGGGCGGTACTGAAACTTCTTTTCTCTTGGGAAAGATTTGAGACCAGTGATCACTTGTCTAAATACAATGCCTTCCCTCATTTAAGTAAATTATTTGGGTTAATTTTTGAGTGATACTTAATTTAATGTTCCTAATTTAACAAGTTTTAGGGGACGTCTGTTTAACCATACAAAAAAATGCAATTTGGCCAAAAATAGACTCACACTTTATACCACATAACCATCGATTGGATCCAAAACATCTAGTCTTTTAACTGTGCCTCACTTAAGTTTGGTGAAAAATGCCTTGCTCTCCAAAAATTTTTTTAAAGAGCTGTCACAAAACAATTAACATCCAAACTCCACTGGTAAAAAAACTGTATTAAAATTCACTCTCCACCTATTACTTTTAAATATCATTACATATTTCTTCTAAGAACAAATATATTTAAATTAGTTGTTTGGAGGAACCTAATAAATTAATTTATGTTAAGGTCACTCCTTTTAATTTATCATTTAATTTTAAAATTTCATTGAAAAAATGTGTTTCAAAATTGAAATGTATTCACTAACCAGGTCTACTCTACAGAAACATATTTTTTTGTATGCCCCACGTTCTTGTTCTGAAACGCTAATCTTGAGCCGAAAATGTTTTACACATTACTTAAGGCTAGGCATAGAATGTCCCAAAGTTATTGCATAGCTATAGGTGATTGACTGGATCACCTATACTCATGGTCTGGACTCAAGACCTCAGGGACGGAGGCAACTACTAGACCAGCTCTCTTCTAGTCTATAAATACAATAACATACCATCATCATTGCGTTCATCATCTGACCATCAGTTTGGTTTTTACAGAGACATGACTACAACGGCAGTTCGTCGGATGACAACAGGTCGTCAGGTCATGCCAGTATGTCTGACGGCCACACTAGCAGCTCACCACCTGTGGACAGACATCACCACTACAGGTCTCCGCTCAACTCGGTACCTGAAGATGAGAGGTAATTATTATCCTTGTAATTTGTTATTTAGCTATGAGTATGGAGTCATGCAATCATAAAAAAATCTTACTTGGCTATTTTACTCAAGAAGGTATTTTCCCGTCACCAATCAACTGCTTCCATCTCCTTCGCTCTTTTATTGGCTCTCAACAATCCTTGTCTTTTGTTGCTTCATTTTTCCACCTCCTCTTTGGGTGTTCATGGGGTTCTCTCTATCCATGTTATTCCTTAATTTGTGTTTTATCTAGTTTAATATCAATTTTATTCATTCATAAACTCATTTACTCAGGAAAATCATTTGCCTGACAAAATGAAATTATGAATGTTGAACCAAACACAATAGGGATCTAAGGAATCCGTATCAATCATTGGACAGGGTTGTAGGGGCAAAATGCAGAAATAGAAAAAGAAATAGGCCTGCTGTATTATCACCAACAAGTGCTGAGGAAGTTTTAGCACTGTTAGTTTTTAAACCTTGAGAAAGATATAACAACTCCCATCCAGCCTCTTGATATTCTAGGTCTAAACCACTGTTACTTCATAACGGCAATTAAATTCAAACCATTTTTTCTAAAAACACAACTCTATCATTGGGCACTTTTTAAAGCAGTCGGTTATACTTTTGTTTTTGGAATACCAAATTTGTTGCTATTTAATTTTTTTTACTTTAAAAACTGTTCAAATATATAAAACTTATATAGTAGGCCTATATTGTTTGTTTGAACTTCAATTTTCAAGCTTGTTTGGCAGATGTTAAACTTGTCCTTGTTAAGGTTGTCTGCAAGTGTGATGCCCAACCAGAGTCGGCCGACACGCAAGAACTTGCAAAGCCGCAGCCGACACAGGGCCACTCCAGCCAAAGTGAGTTTTGCTTTTACTGTATGTTGTGACATTTATATGATGTTATTTACCAAATTGTATAATTAGCTAGTTGTACTTTAACCTGCATGAGTTGAGACTGTTCACCAGTTTTACCAGTTTTATTAAACAGAACAATCGTAAACAAGTTTTCTTCTTTGCCTTTATGAAATTAAACAAATCTATAGGTGTACTTTTATCCTTTTACAAAAACAAAAAGTCCTTGTAAGACCTTTTGATACAATTAGGGATTTTTAAATGTGAGGAAGTTTCCTCCAGAACCCTAGGCCTTCTCAAGGGTGGTAAGGGTCGATAAGTGAACAGACTGAGTATCTCAAACTTCTGTTTTATTTCCTGATATCCTTATCCTAACACATTTGTTTCTATGTACAATATTATATACACTCTGATCCTGGGTCCGTAGTCCTACTACCAGGCAGTGTCTCCGGGCTCGTATTCGGGGGTTGGGCAGAGGTTGGATCAGGTCTTGCTTATTCCCTTACTGGCCCGGTGGTCTATGACACTCCTAACAGATATCCGTGTGGGTCCGCGGTCTAGATCCTTTGGCACCTTCACCCCGGAATCCTCGGTCCCCTAGCTGCTGCTCTCCACTGGAGACGGTTCTGGCTTTCCTGCACAGAAGTCAAGCTGGGCCGGTTCAATGTGCTAATGCTCTCCTCGGGAGACGATTCTGGCGTCACTTGCTCAGAAGTAAGCACTCTCTCTAGACAATCTACTCGGTCTGCAGTCCGACGTAAACTGTCGTCAATACTCGACGTATACCTATACATATACTATCATAAAGTGGTGGGGGACTACATGAGTCCTCCCCTCCACCTACGACTACGGACCCGCGGGCTCAACACGCCCATGCGGGGGTGTCGGGGGCTCAGCACGCCCATCCGACGGTGCTGGTGGCTCAACACGCCCGTCCAGCGAGGCTGGTGGCTCAACACGCCCATCCAGCCGTACCCGTGGCTCAACACGCCCATCAGGAACCTCGCGGGCTCAACACGCCCATGCGAGGGTGCCGGGGGCTCAACACGCCCGTCCGACGGTGCCGGTGGCTCAACACGCCCGTCCAGCGTACCTGTGGCTCAACACGCCCGTCAGGTGACTCGCGGGCTCAACACGCCCATGCGAGTGTGTCGGGGGCTCAACACGCCCGTCCAGCGTACCTGTGGCTCAACACGCCCGTCAGGTAACTCGCGGGCTCAACACGCCCATGCGAGGGTGTCGGGGGCTCAACACGCCCGTCCGACGGTGCCGGGGCTCAACACGCCCATGCGAGGGTGTCGGGGGCTCAACACGCCCGTCCGACGGTGCCGGGGGCTCAACACGCCCGTCCAGCGTACCCGGGGCTCAGCACGCCCATCAGGTGTCTCGCGGGCTCAACACGCCCATGCGAGGGTGTCGGGGGCTCAACACGCCCGTCCGACGGTGCCCGGGGCTCAACACGCCCATCAGGCCCCACACCGGTGGCTCAGCACGCCCATCCGGCGGGGTCGGGCCCGAAGGCCCAACTGACTTCTCGGTGCCAAACACCCTGGTTAAGTACCCGCCGAATGGTACCCAAGAGGTGGGGGTGAGTACCTTACCACCCCCATCGGAGCATCTCTCCCCTCCATTGGAGTCATTTCGATGTCTCCGAGTACCTTTGTATCTTTAACCTCAAAAATTCTCTCAGGGGTAAAAAACACTTCTTTACACTCCCCCTTTTCTTCCCAATGAGGCAAAAAAATAATAATTTCATCTTCCCTTTTGGCCTTACTTACTATTTATTCTAAATATCTACTATCAACCTTCTAATATCTAAACCAATTCTTTTCTCTATGAGACACTGCCAGGGTTTAAAAATTTAATTCCAAAGTCAGAACCAAAATTTGTACTTTATTAAATAAAAAATAAAAATTTCTCTTGTCGTAACTTAAATCAATAAACTTTTAAAACAAAACATAAAATTTTCTATCTTCTGTTAACAAATCATAACTTAAATGTACTCCTAATTATAAAAATGTCCGGTCTTCTTATGCGGAGGGCTTCCAGTAGCGGGTCTTGTCGGAGCGGTCCCTGTATTTTCTTTTCTTCTGTTTCCTCGCTTTATTTCTCATTAAAGGAGACTTGTGTTGCTTCTTCTTCCCTTGCCTTCGACTGGTTGGCGTAGCTAGTGGATCCATCAATGGTTGGGGTGTATTTAGTATCTCTACTTGGACTACCTCTTGCTGCACTGTCACGATCCTGTTATTGTCTATGGGTGCTACCGTGGCTTTAGCTTCATGCAGGGACTGAAGAGATGGACCCGACGAAGAGACTTCTTGATCAAATGTGATTGGTACCAGCTCCCAATCGTTACCAAATTCTTCCGGGACTTTTTGTATGATTGATCTTGACTCTGCTGTTAATTCATCTGTGATTTCCTCCGTTAATTGTTGTTGCTCTTCTGCTGTTATGTCTGCGTCTAGGACATCCTCCTCTGATGTTTTAGGTAGGACTTTCTTCTTGCTCGGTGATACAATAGTACTCTTTTCTTCGTCGGAACTCGAAGAACTGCTGCTAGACGAACTTGATGAAGATGAGGATGACGAGGGACTTCGGCCCTCCTGTTTCTTTCTGATTGATTTAGTTTCCCCTGTGACTCGAGAGTGATGTGATTGCCGTTTTTTATAATTTTCTTCCTCTGGTCCCGTTGACGTGGTCCCCTCTCTCATGTCATTTTTCAGTTCCGTGAACATTGGTGATTCACTACGTTTTATCTTCTTCCTCCCCCTTTTTGCGGGTAAGATTTTAACTCCGGGAATCTCCGGTTGGGGCTGCTGATGTGATTTGATTCGTTTCTGCTTCAATTCATCAACCATGACTTTTCGCAACCAGGGAATGATGCGTTGACTATACGATATCGTGCGATCAGCTGTGTAAGCTTCGGCTGTGAGGCACAGAAATACGCCGCAGTCCACTTTTGAGTATTGTTTGGGTCCTCCTCTTGGTATCACCTTCCATTTTCTGGCTAAGAACACCTCTCTTCGCTTGTGTAATGCTTCAGCTCTTAAATATTCTAGAAACACGTTTGTGGCTTCACTGTGTTCTTTGTGCAGACTATCAAAGACGATTAACTCTTTTGTTCTGAGATCCGCAATAAGTAGGACCCAGTGTTCGATTTTCTGGATAAAATATGGGATCAGCAAAATGTCGAACCGAAATATGTCTACTTTCTTGGTCCAAGACTCAACTCCTTCATATCGATGTTTTAGTAACTTCTCCATAAAATGGGTATTAAAGACGAATACTCTCGGCCATCCACCCCGGGTGCCTCTTGTTTGTAGAATATTGAGGTACTCTGCAATCACTCTGTCGTTTATACATAGGTTATCCCTTAACGCAGTCAAGTCGTCCTCGTGGAGTTCCATGGTGTTGATAGTGTGACTGTCCAACCATTAATGACCAATTTCCTGCTCACCCAGACCTCCTTTAGGTTGTTTATTTTCCTTGTGTGAAGAACAAAGGAGCCTCCTTTGACCTTTACCCTACTTCGCCTCCTTATCTTAGGGTTGTCCGGCTAAGTGTATTCCGTAACTACAATATTGGGAAATCCCAATATTCCGTTGGGTTTCTTCTCTGAGCCTTATTGTTTCGATTCATAACTCGGTCTAATTATTGTTTTTAATTCTCTATTGTTGTTTTGACATCTTTTACGTGCACTCTTGTGGGTTTTCCATTACGGTAAATTTCGATTACTACTGGAGAGTGAACTTTGGTAATTATGTGAGGTCCCGAGTACTTGGGTAATAGTTTTGCATTTATGGCTTTATGGGCCTGTGACAGGTGTCTTTCCCTGCAGAATACTTTGTCTCCTACCTTTGGTTTATAGGGTCTCCTTCTGAGATTGTAATAGTGTCTTTGAACTCCATGAGCTTTCTCTAAATTACTTTTCACTAGTTTAAAAATGGCCTGCATTTCTTGTGCTTTCAATCTCGGGTCTATGTCAATTAATTCATCTGTTGGTAAATTTAACAGTTGAGGGGTGCGTAGTTCCCGCCCAAAATTAAGGTAAGCGGGTGAGAATCCAGTCGAGTTATGTGTTGCCGTATTAAATGCAAACATAAACTCGGGCAACAATAGGTCCCATTTCCTTTGGGTCTCGTTTATGTATTGCGCTATCATTGTTTCAATTACTTTATTTGTCCTTTCAACGGGGTTTGCCTGTGGTGTATATGGAGGAGTGAATCGGTGTATAATACCGTATTCCTTGGCTATCTGGTCAAAGAGAGTACTCGTGTACTGTGTACCATTATCTGAGATTAGCGTGTATGGTGTTCCGTGTCTCAAAATTATTTTTTCCTTAAAAACCTGACTGACGGCTCGTGCGGTAGCTGCTCTGATAGCTGAACATTCTATCCATTTGGTAAACGTGTCTTGAAACATTACTAAATAGCAGTTGCCTTTCGTTGACCGAGGAAATGGACCCACTAGGTCGGTACTGACAGTGTTCCAAGGACCCTTTGGACACCTAAATTGTAGTTCTCCTTGTTTCAATTGACTTGTGTGCTTAAATCTTTCGCAGTTCTCGCAGTTACGGACGTATCTGGAGACGTCCCGAAACATACCAGGCCAATAATATGACCGAACTACCCGGTCATATGTTTTTGCTATTCCCAAGTGTCCTGCTTGCGGATCATCGTGGTTGGCTTGGAGTATTTCGTTTCTCTTTTCATGAGGAACACATAACTTCCAAGGTGATGTAGTACTCCTATCACCTCTCCCTACATTGTTCCATATGTGTTTATACAAACTATCATCGACTATTTTAAATGTGGTATATTTTCCAGGTTGAGACTTGACCCTCGTAACCATTTTATCGTACCATTGAGTCTTTTTACTATATGTGGGCTCGGGTAAAGGTGTGGACTCAGTGTCACATACCATTAGGCTCTCGGCTGTTTCTGTAGTCTGATACATTCTTGAAAGAGCGTCCGCGACTTTGTTCATCGCCCCTTTTCGATACTCTA